GATAAATTTATTTAGCATACATTATGGCACAAGCATTTATAGCAAAAACTTTAATTAAAAATGTACTGAAGTGTAGCAATATAAGTCTACTTTGGGTATTAATGTTTCCCTTGGAGCACTGATATGATCTTCCTGTTTCAAGTAAGCTGAAGATTGAATAATAATCAACAATCTGCAAATAGATTTAAAAGTACTAATTTTTTCTCTTTATGTTTCAACAAAGAATAAATTCAAATGTGGTTCTTTTCAAAGCATGTGGCCATAAGTAGCTCCCTCATCCATGGAACTAATATTATATAAAACAAATTGGCTGTCACAACGGGCAAACAGAAATTTTTCATGGCTCCCACAAGAGACCTGAAGTGCCATCATCATGGTGCTTTCCTCTTGGGTCCTTGCAGAGATGGAGGGAAAGTCCTGATCCCATATAAAGCCCTCAGAATCCAGAGATCTTCACTGCTTGAGGCGCCCAAGACTGCCTTATTTTTATTTGCTCCCCAGGACGGTGATGGGTGCACTGGCCCCAGGGTGCTCGGAGAGCCTGCCTGGTGCTGCATCAGACACATATGTGGCCCCGGGCCCCCGGGCTCACCTCTCCTCCAGTCCTGGATGTCAGTGTGGAAGCAGTTGGGTAACCTGTGCCCATTCAGTCCTTCCAGCTTTAGAGACTGGGTTCCTCAAATCTGTTCAGTACCTGAACCTTTCTTTTCTACTTCTCCCTGCTTTAGAACCAGTGAAGAATTTCTTGTCACGTCCTATCCCAGCAGAGGCTGCTGAGCCGTGGTAAGTGTCCCCTCCCAGAGTGTCACTGTCTGACTGCGCAGGCAGCTCTGTGGGGCAGCAGTGCTTCAGTGCTAAATAGTTAATTCCATTGCCACGTCTTCCTACTACCACCCTCGGTTCCCAGCAATCGATGGATAATCTCATCTTTTGAAAGTCTAGTGCAGCCAGGTATGTATCGAGCTGAGGGAACACACTCCCCCTACCACTCTGGAGGGGCATCTCTTGGTGTTGAATCAGAAATAAGTGCTGCAGATTCTGATCCCAATCAGCAGATCCTCCCACACCTCTGACTTTCTGTACTGCAGGCTGCTGTGTCTTCCTGGTGAATCATTTGTTACGGTGGTTGCAACACTGCTGTTGTCTCAGCAGGGATGAAGGTTATGTTTCCTCAAACTTAAATTATTCGAAACCTACTTATGTAGAATGTGGACAAGACTAAGGGAAGGTGCATGCACAGCAGGAATAAGAATGGAGAGAAGCTAAGATATTTGATTCTAGATCAATGGTAAAAATCTGCTGTGGAGGAAATAAGTTTGAGTACACTGTAATGGAGTAGAAATTATCATCAGTGGAAGGGCCCACAAATTTTACAGTAAAATCATACACTGGCAACTAGTATGGTCAATTCTTCTTTTCAGTATGCAGTAATTAATGCCTATGTACTCGTCATTTAGCTGATAAGGACTAGGGACATTTATTTTACTGAGCTTTCTTTAGGAGTGCAAAATTACTTGTGTAATTTGTGAGCAGATATATCTAAATGTGTTTCTTTAGCAAACATTGTAACTGGTGATTTTCCTCTTTGTGTGTGCCTTTAAGTGTCTGCTATGGGGGTGTCTTCCAACTTAGTCTCTTAGTCTCTGGTTTGGTAATTGTGACCCATCCTAATCCATCTCCAACATCAAAAGCCAGGGCAAAATATGAGGATGTTAAAATCTGCCTAAAAAACATTCAGTGGTTACTTATTGTATGTACTATAGGATAATTCTTAAATGCCTTAATATTTCATACAAAAGTCTCCATGATGTAGCCCTTGACACTATGTATTCTCTCTCTCTCTCTCTCTCTCTCTCTCTCTCTCTCTCTCTCTCTCTCTCTATTTCTCTCCCTTTTCACTCTTTCATTCATTCATACTTTGCCCACTCACACAGCCATTAGGCCATAATGAGATGTTTCCTGACAATGCCAGGCTGTTTCATACCTCTATGCCTTTGTTCTCTCATTCATGTGCCTTCAATGCCTTGCCCACTCACTTATTTATATTTTAAGACTCAGTCAATGATGATCTCTTCTCTGATACAGCTACAAAGCATTTCTATATGTTCATTTCTGTTTTGTTTGATTGAATATGTACATGTGTCATATATGAGTATATTTAAGTTGGGCTTATCTATAATAGCATGTGCCTATAGTGAAATTTCAGTAGGTTTACAAAATATTTCCTAAAATAACCAAAAGTTTTAAATGTATAAAAGAGGTGGCGAATCCCAAATCTGGCATTTCTCATCTCTACGTGGCAGCCTAGTAATTAAGAGAATGCCGTACACACACACACACACACACACACACATGCTTCCACAGTCAGACAGATCTCGGCTTTGCTGTGATTCTGACTCATCACTCTCTCACTTAGAAATGTTCATCTAAATCACAGTGTCTTCTGTTAAATTAGAATAACAGCACCTCATTAGTAGTGTTTTGTGGATTTAATGGGATATTGTGTGAAAAGTACTTAGCAAACTTACTGACACCTAGTACATAATCAGTACATATTGTTAGAGAATTTTCTGCACTGATTATTTAGGCTTCATGTTAAAACTAATCAAACTAACCCTACCAACGTCTTGCCCTTTGCCATGGCCTTACCTATGAGGAATAGGCCTGTAAGCATTCCAACTTTTACCCATCATAGTAAATGGCATCCCATCTATGTCATGAGCACAGATATGAGAGTCCTCCTTGATTTCCCTTTTTCCTTTAACTCCATATTCATCCATCAATTACTGTTAAAGACTCTTCTGAAACATATCTTAAATCCACCCACTTCTCTGAATTTGCCCTAGTCGTCAAGGTTACTGTCACCTCCGATTAGCTTCCAACCAGTCTCAGACTCCCACTCCTGCTGCCATGAAGTCTGCTGCGACCATAGGGCGGTCTTTCCAGAGCATGAATCATCTGTGCCCCTATCCAGCGTCAATCTTCCACTTGCTTCTCATTGTACGAAAACACTGTTCAGATCCCTTACTACGACCCGTGGAGCCATTCACATCCTGGCCCTCACCTTCCCCCTGTCTCTCTGTGCCCTCTGCAGCCCAGCTCTTCCAAGGGTCGGCCGCGAGCCTGCCTTCATGTCCCTCCTCATTGGTCAGAGGGGCCTTTCCTAATCACACTAGTAACATTGTCTGTTTTTCAACCCCGAAATGTCTCACGTTTTATTATGTGTTTCTATCTTTGTTTGCTTATTTAAAATAAAATCTCTACCCAGGGACTCTCACCCCTACCCAAGGACTGAAAGCTTCCTAAGAGGAAGCTCATACTTCTTGTGCTCACTGCTCTACTTGGCTCATAGCATTTACTCTCTTCCCTCTTATCCCAGACCTTCCTCTTTAATGACCTATGGAGAGGTAAGAGTCCCTTCCACACTTATCATTATTTATAGTCCATATAAGATTTCATCTAGGTTTTGATCCACATTGATGTACACTGGGTGAATATTAGTATTTCCACTTATAGAAGAGGAAATTGCATTTCAGAGAGGATCATATTTCAAGGTCACATAGGGTAGGGCAAAAATAGGTTTACAGTTGTGAGTACATGAAACACATAGTTTATTTTTGTATTATTATTTATTAATCATAGTATTATTTTCCATATGAACAATTTAAACCTACTTTTGCCCACCCTGTATAGCAAATCAAGAGCAGACATGGTCCAGATTTTTAACACTGAAAAGCATGACTCATTTTTTTTAATTATGTTTTTTTTTATTGATTTCAGAGAAGAAGGAAAGAGAGATAGAAACATCAATGATGGACAGAAGTTTTCCGCGGCAGACACAGCTGATTCACACAGCCAGTCGGCCTGGTGGTCAAATCCCTCTAGTATTAACTACAACAATCAAGGCTCAACTAGAACAAGACTGCGCACAAAGACCACTAGGGGGTGCACCAAGAAAGCATAAAAAATGCGGAGACAAAAAAACATGACAGAAATGGACGATATAGAGCTAAAAAACGCAATTTTGAGGGCTTGCAAAAATGTGCTAGAAGCTGCCAATAAACTTGAGGAGAGACTCACGAAAACTAATGAGACCCTCGATGCTATGATAAAGAAACAACTAGAGAGTGAATCATTGATCAGCTGCCTCCTGCATGCCCCCTACTGGGGATTGAGCCCACAACCCGGGCATGTGCCCTGACCAGGAATCGAACTGTGACTTCCAGGTTCATAGTTCGATGCTCAACCACTGAGTCATGCTGGCTGGGCTGGAAAGCATGGCTATTATCTCCCCTTCTCAGGTACCTCACAGAGATATGGTCCATTTCAATGGATGTAGAGCAAAAGAAAGTGATAGTAGGTGAGGGATAAACAAGTTGTAAAGAGGAACTTCCAGAACTCTGGGTGGATGATGGGCAAGGAAAGCCAGGTATATTCTCTGGAATTGGCAATGGGAACATGGGGTTTGAAACTGTTTAATTTGGGGGTGATTGTGAAGGACAATGTAGGATATTAGACAGAACATGGGCTATCAGCTTAGAATTGAATGTGATTCCTACCCTGCTACCAGTGGGAACTTGGTAAGTTACTTAATAACTACTTTTCCAAGACTCATATCTTCATCACTAAAATGGGTATCTATATATAAAAGCCAAGCAACCAGAACAACAGAACAACCGGAATGACCGATCACTATGACACACACTGAGTTGGCCAACCGGCCTGATTGGGGCCCCGATCATCCCCCCCCCCCCCCCACACCCCCCCTGCATCTGTCAGTATCATAAATACTTGCAAGGCATAAAGAAGCTATGTGAGAATTAAATTACATTATGTACATAATATACCCAGTATATGGTCTAGCTTATAATATATTTTTACTAAATATCTATTATGGTTATTGCTAGCAGAGAAGGCAAAGGATGGAAGGTTCTAACTGGACCATGGTTTCTAACCAAGTGATTTTCCCCCTCAGGAGAGCTAAGCCCTGTGTCTCCAATATGGAAGTGGAGAACCAGACATGGGTCACCAAGTTCATTCTGGTGGGGTTCCCCGGCAACTGGGGCATGCGTGCAGCAGTGTTCCTGATGTTCCTTGTGGCCTATATTTTGACAGTGGCTGAAAACATGATCATCATCCTGTTGGTACAGCAGAACCGGCCACTGCACAAGCCTATGTACTTTTTCTGGCCAACCTGTCCTTCTTAGAGACCTGTTACATCTCTGTGACTGTACCCAAGTTGCTGTTTGGTTTTTGGTCTGTGAGCAACAGCATCTCCTTCACTCACTGTATGATACAACTTTACTTTTTCATCGCGCTCATGTGTACAGAATGTGTGCTTCTGGCAGCCATGGCCTATGACCGGTATGTGGCCATCTGCCGCCCACTGCACTACCCCACCATCATGAGCCACAGGCTCTGCTTACACCTGACTCTTGCTTCCTGGGCCATTGGCTTTGGCATCTCCTTGGCTAAGATCTACTTCATCTCTCACCTCAGCTTCTGTGGCCCCAATGTCATCAATCACTTCTTCTGTGACATCTCTCCAGTACTTAACCTTTCCTGTGCAGACATGTCCATAGCTGAGTTGGTGGACTTTGTCCTGGCACTGGTCATCTTACTCCTCCCCCTCTCTATTACTGTCCTGTCTTATGTACATATTCTGGCCACTGTTCTACACATGCCCACAGGAAAGCAGAAAGCCTTCTCTACTTGTACCTCCCACCTCGTGGTGGTCACCATCTTCTACTCAGCCACTATTTTCATGTATGCCCGGCCTCGAGTTATCCATGCCTTCAACTTGAACAAAGTTATTTCCATCTTCTATGCCATTGTCACCCCTGCTCTCAACCCTTTCATTTATTGCCTAAGGAACCGAGAAGTCAAGGAGGCTCTGAAGAAACTGATCTATTGCAAGGCCATCGGATCTGACTAGACTATTAAAAGTGATTAGAAATACATGATTTGATTTGCTTCCTGCCCTTCCATCCTCTGTCCTTTCTCCTTTAATGCCTTAGCTGGGTGGGACTCATCTTAATAGGCCATCCCCACATCCACATCAACCATAGGCTATGTCCTGAGTCTGTATCTGTGCATGTGGTTTGTGCTCTATGGGAATAGTCCTCATATAGAGAATTCTCTTGCTGGAACCCAAAATGAAGTGTCTCAACTGAGGTGGGGAGAGAGATGGCAGTGTATGAGTTAGCTGTTTTGGGATCTAGCATACATTAAGGGCTTTGAGGCCAACAGACTGAGGATGGCTTCCCCAAAGAGGTATAGGTAGCAGCTTCCCCAACAATGTCATTCTGGATGTTGAGTTGGGAATCAGTCTTGGTGGAAGAGAGTGAAGACTGCTCCTTTAGGCCTTCCACCACCTTTTGTTAGCACTTGGTTCCCTGTATTAAATATCTTCCTGCTTCTAATAGCAATAGTGCTTTCTGTTATCTATATGTGGAGTTAACCTTTTATAATTATACTAGGGGCCCAGTGCACAAATTCATGCACCTTGAACTGTGGGCAACATGGCTGCGGTGGGCACAGGGGTGGGTCTCGGCCCATCCTCCATGCCCCCTCCTGGCCCCTTCCATCACGGACCCCGGTCCCCTTTCTGCCGGCAGCCCTGCTCCCGCCGCCGCTCCCACATGCTGACTGTGCTCCCACACACTGACAGTGCCGGCCCCACTCGCACCTGCTGATGGCACGGAGCTATTGGGCCAGTGCCAGCAGCTGGTGCGAGCAGGGCTGGCACTGTCAGGGGGTGTGAGCAGCAGCTGCCAGCCCCAATCACCCCTCAGGACCAGGGGGAGGTGGAGAAGTCCTCAGGGGCAATCGGGGCTGGCAGCTGCTGCTTGCCCCTGCTGACAGCACCAAGTGATCAGGGACAGCACTGGCGCTGGCAGCAGGTGCGAGTGCCAGGCAGGATCGCGGAACACAGGAGCAAAGAATTTTCAGTAACCACCAGAGGCTCACCCCGATGACAGCGACCGGCACCCCGCCTTGGTCTGGTGCCCCTGCTCACCTGCTCCACCATCCCGCCATGGCTGATGCCTGTCATGTTCTGCGCTCTGCCACCTGCTGCCAACACCTGCCATGTTCCACACACACCCCCTGGTGGTCAGCACAGAGTGACCGGTTGTTCGGTTGTTCCGCAGTTTGGTCTATTTGCATATTAGCCTTTTATTATACAGGATACTGTCTTCTGACATAACTTATAGAATTGCTTTATATTGCCTTTCACATGTTTCTTCTAGATGTCACAATATGTTTGTATCCTCTAGTGGATGAGCACTATATAGATGATAAATAAAATAATCAAATATAGTATTTGCTGAGTAAAACTTGCCCTCATCAGTTGTCTCTTCTTCTGAACTCAATGTTCTCATTCCTCTTCATTTTTCTTTTAGTTCCTCCTGACCTTCACTCTCTCAACACACATGTCATAGACAAGCAATGAGGTAATTTTAGGATTTGACAGATTTTCATTCTATGCTACAGTGACTCCCAGTTCTTCTACTTGTTTATCTGACACCCTACCTTTGTACACTAGTCCTTTCTGATCTAACGTGCCTACACATCCACAGAAGGGTACACAGATATGCCCACTATCTCTTGGTTCACAGTTTTGTCAATGACCAAGGGAGCTATACTTTAAGCTATATTCCATATAACACAGCCATGTCAGTGGGAATTTAAATCTTTCATTAGAAGAATTTAAAATAGGATGGCTTTTGGCATTTGCAATATTTTTCAGCTAAGAACAAATACTACTTTGAAGAACATGTTCTCATTCTTTTGAAGTAAGAGGCATTAGGTGGGATTCTTTGCTACATTTTACAAATTTCCAGAACAGAAGCTTAAGGAAGTAAATGATTTTTAGTCACAGATAGTGGGGAGCAGTGTCAAAAGCCCAGGTCTCCTGCCCAGCTGGTGTGGTTCATGGTTGAGTGTCGACCCATGCACCAGAAGGTCACTTCCCAGTCAGGACACATGCCCAAGTTGCGGGCTCAATCCCCAGTAGGGAACATGCAGGAGGTAACTGATTGATGATTCCCTCTCATCATTGATTCTCTCTCTCGCTCCCTCTCCCTTTCTCTCTGAATCAATAAAAACATTTAAAAAATCTTTCCCCAAAAGTCCAGGTCTCCTAAATCTGAACCCTGGGACCCTTCTTAGCTCATGGGTCTCCTTAGAGAGAACACATGCTTCTTCAGCAAGCCATCTATGGAAACTTAACTGTGCAAAAGACATGGTTGGAATCACCAATTACTACATCTGGAAAATTATTGATAAAATAAACATGGAAAAATGTGAAATACTGTCCTCAGGAAAGAAACAAAGATAAAATGCAATCCTACCTCCTACAGAGAATAAATATGAAAAAAAGTGGTTATGAATATATTGCCCCTTAAAACCCACACATATGAATAAAAGTGATTATTTTCTGAGACAATTCATATGAATCAAGACATTATGGCCCTAGCTGGTTTGGCTCAGGGGATAGAGCGTCAGCCTGTAGACTGAAGGGTTCCAGGCTTGATTCCGGCCAAGGGCACATCCCCTGGTTGTGGGCTCGATCCCCAGCTGGGGGAGTGCAGAAGGCAGTCAATCAATGATTCTCTCTCATCATTAATGCTTTTATTTCTCTCCCTCTCCCTTTTTCTCTGAAATCAATAAAAATATATTATAAAAACATTGTGGAAAATTCATATAGGGCTGTGAAATATGTGCATGGAAAAGCAGGCGAAGACACCATCAGCAGGAATAAGGCATAAAAACAATCTGAGTTTAATCCAAGATATATTTTTAACACATGTCCTGGGACAAACCATCCCAACTTTCTGAAACACTGATTCTTCTTATGCAAAATAGGAATAATAATGCGTGCTCTGCCTACCTTACACAGTGGCCATAATGGCCAACTGACATGATGCAGAATACCTTGATTGTCAAAGGACTGGGCCAGTGGAAGATCAGAGAAGGCTGAAACTCAGTTAGGGTTTGTCTGAAACGCTCCCAAACTGACAGAGCTCCACAAATGTCACCTGGGTGACTCCAGATATAAGGGATGTTTGTTCCTTGATTATTTCTCACAGTGACTGGGTGAGGGAGTGTGGAAGTAATATTTCATCATAAATTATATTAAACTGTGTTTCAGAGCAGGTGGAATCAATAATGTTACCTTGACCTCTGTGTGAGAGGAAGAGCTGAATGCATGGGCCAAGCAGAGTAGAGGGTACACACAGATCAGACCTATGAGGGAATCAGCCCCCAAGGAGAGATTTACAGCAGTGGAATGGATACATGAACGTAGACGAGAGCTATGTTTAAGGCAAGGCACATAAAGCAAGTTAGAAGTTTTGAGCCAGCTTTCAAGGGGTTAGGTAACCATGATATAGTCTCTGGTAGTCAGTTTTAGCAGTTTATCCTGAGATTAAGCCCTCAGAATTTCGTTATTACCAACCAAACTCAAGGAAGTCTATACATACCTAAGATAGTGGGTTGAATGGTAGCTCCCAAAAGGCTATGTCTACATCCTCAACTTGGAACTTGTGGTTGTGAACTTATTTGAAAAGAGGGTCTTTGAAATGTGATTAAGTTAAGGATCTCAAAATGAGACCATCTTGGATGATCTGGGTAGGCACTAAAATCCAATGACAAGTTCTTTATTAGTGAGAAGGGGGCAATGGGAAGATGTTATAATTTTGCAGCTTAATTAGAGAAGTTGAACCAAAGTTGAGATGGCTTATTGGACTGTAAAAAGTTCACCAGAATGCAATTATCTTATTTGGATATTCCTTTCCTGACTGACTATATAAATTTCTGTTCCTGAGAGGCAGAGCTGCCTCAAACTGATTGTCAAACTGCAGCGGGAAGGCCAGGGAGGGTTGGGGGGCATGAGGGAGGGGGGTAAGAGATCAACCGAAGGACTTGTATGCATGCATATAAGCATAACCAATGGACATAAGACACTGGGGGGTAGGGGAGGCCAGGGGATTGTCAAGGGCGGGGGGAAAAAAAGGACACATATGTAATACCCTTTGTAATACTTTAAGCAATAAAAATAAAAATAAAAAATTTCTGTTCCTGAATGCTGTTGGAACAATCTCTTTGGTTTTCCTGCTGTTTCTCTTAAATAAATATTGGCACATGTTCATTATTTACTAGTATTTGTCAGAGACTTTATGTGTGGCAGTGGAACAGGGCAGGGCAAGTATTGAGTAAGCAGCATGGTGATGGCCTGTGACTGGGCAGTGCTTACCAACAGCATCTGAGGGCTTAGGACCACACAGCACTTCGCACAGAGCCTGGATAGGGGCAGGGAGCCCATCAGGACACCCAAAGTGTAATAACTGAAAAGCACAGGCTCTGGGGATGTGTACACTTGGGCAACTTTAACCTTCTGTGCCTCAGTTTCCTCAGATGTAAAATGAGGTTAATAAGATTATCTGTCTCACTGCATTGTTTTGAAGAGTAAATTAGCAAATACAGGTAAACTACTTGGATTACTGCTTGGAATAGAGTAAGTGTTCGATAAAGTATATTTTATTTTCACTTGGGGCAAAATTTTTATAGGCAGAACAGATACTGAGCTTTGACGCTTATGGTGAGAACTAGGGTAGCAAGCCCTTGACGCAGGCTAATGATGCTGGGAGCACAGTAAAACTTGTAGTGTAATAAGTCCAATTTAGATATTTATACTAAGGGAATGTGTACATGTGGAAGTAACTAATGGGATGCTCATTACAATGTTGTTTACAACATAATAATTGGAAAAAAAACTCAGCATGTTAAACAAAATAGAGTTGGGTGGATTAACATGGAAAGTGGCTCATATGATATTACAGAGGTGAAAAGTGGTCACTAATAAGTAATTCCAAAAATAATGTGCAGTGCGATACCATAAAGATACATGCATGTATAGCATATGTGTACTTC